CAGCGAGAGAAGAAAAAAGCAGCAGAAAGGGAGAGAGAGAGATAGAGAGAGAGAGAGAGAGAGGCAGAAAGAGAACAGAAAAAAGATGAGGAGACTGAAATATGCCCTGATGGAGTGTGAGTGTGTATATGGGCCAAAAGCTTTTCCAGACACAGCAAAAAAAAGGACAGGCTTTATTGGCCATTTCTACCACCAAACAGTTCGATCTCCACCGCAATCATTCTCACTCGATCTCTCTGAATGAAAGACCTTGGTTGTTGTCCTCCCATTTTGGCATGGCTAACGCCCTTTTCATGGGAGAAGGAGAGCAGAGAGGGGGGATAAATAGAGAGCGTCTTTTAGCTGCCGCGTGTTTGTCACCTCTGAGCTGAAGGACAGTGTTGAATAGTCTTGCAGGGGGGTGTGAAGACAGACAGACTGCGGCGGATTAAAGACTGTCTGTCTTTACTTCCGTCCTCTGACATCCACTAGCATTTCTGTGTGTGTGTGTGTGTGTGTGTGCTATTGCAGTCATACAGTCGAGATGATGACAGTAACACATCAGTGTGAGATTGTCTGGTGCTGCAGTGGAGGAAACAGGAAGTAATGTGATTGTCTTTTTATTTTGTGTTTAACACATTCTGCTTTCTTCCAACATCATCTCTCTATGTTGCAGTTCCTTTTTAGGCATGTTGAAAGGGGCGGTTTATCATTTATTGATAGAGAGATAAAGCAGAGAGAGAATTATATATATAGTCAAACCAAAAATTATTCAGACACCAGATATAATTTTTGATGGGGTGCTGTGTGTACATTAATGAGGAAAAAAAATTAACTTAAATGATTTTAGCAAATGGCTGCAATATAACAAAGAGTGAAAAATTTAAGGGGGTCTGAATACTTTCCGTACCCACTGTATATATATACACACACACACACAATCTAAAAAAAGCAAATCACACCACAAACTTTTCAATTTTTCAATTCAATGTCACTCAAATTGCTGTTAAAAAAACGATATCTTTTTAAAAAATGAAATCTGTTTAATTGAACATAAAAATGGAAATTAAAAAAAATTCTATGAACTGTTAAAAATAAAAAAAGTCACTAAAATTGTAATTAAATGTATTTATTAAATATAAAATCCTAAATCTAAAAATGTTCACTTAAAGGGGTCATCAGGTGTTCTGTTGTTGGAGGTTGCTCTTTTGTTAGTTTTGACTGCTTTTATTGTCCTCATTTGTAAGTCGCTTTGGATAAAAGTGTCTGCTAAATGACTAAATGTAAATGTAATGTAAATGGATGTAATAATGAACATATTAGTCGTCATTTACTCCCGACATCTGAGCCACTGAAGACGCAGTGGATTACGTTTGTTTTTGAAGGGAATGCACCACCGATCTACATAAATGCGTCTATGTTCACGCAAATTATTTGTGATCCAGCTTCACCTCCAGAAGAAGTGAGTATAAGGTTTTTTAATGAATCTTTGCAAATCGCCTTTCCTAATAATGTGCTAATTAGCTAGTTTCACGATGAATAAAGTAAAGAAGTAAAGTCGGAAGAGAGGGGCGGGGTCAGCAGAGCTCATTAACATTTGAAGCAAAATGCTACAAAACGGCTTGCTCTGAATAGAGCTGTTTTTGACAGGGTAAAAAAGGTGTTTTTTACACTACCATTGAGAAATTTTAACCAAAGTATGTTATAGACTTTTCATTAAGACCCTAAAGAATCATATCAAATCAACTTGTGGAAAATGGGCATCCGATGACCCCTTTAAACTTGCCCATCAAACTGTTATAAAATTGTATGGTTATTAAATAATTAAAACAAAAACAAAAAACAAACAAACAAAAAAATCTATAATTTTTTAATTAAATGTGACTAAATTTTATTAAATCATCAAATACAATCTTAAATAAAAACATTATATCCTATACATTATATACATGTCATTCAAATTGTTAAACTGAAAAATACAAAAAAAATAAAATTCTAGTGGTGCCAAATTATAGTCCATGTAGTCACCATGATCTTTATATGTTGCTTTCAGCCACTGATACCCATGACTCAATGTGGCTGAAGGACTAACCGTCATTGCATTTCTATCTGCCCTTTTCCTCTTTCAGCCAGAGGTTTCTTTCAGAAGGAAAGAAAACACATTCATTTAAACAATAATCTTTAAAAACTATTTTAAATGTCTCTCTCTGCCTTCCCATTACTGTCCAGTTGACCACCTCACTTCGGTGGAAGCTGCAGCCTCATAAAGTAATTGCTGTGAGGCTATTAAAACCGGTGAAACCCAAGGCTCCTCATTTAGCTGAAGATACCATTTGAGAGAAAAAAAAATTAACAAGGAGGACACGGATAAACAAAAAGACAATTGCACACATTCCAACCAGCAAGTAAACAAAAGCTAAACACATCTGCAAGCGGCTATTGTTGATGCGCTATTGTGGGGCATCTCTTTGAATAGCATGCAAGGTCTTTAATGGAAATGGCTGGTCATCGATGACACTGTTTGGCACTTGGTGTTTGCCAGCAGTGCGTTTAATGGCAGATAGTCTAATTTCCGACCTCGCTGCTCTTTGCTACATCCACAAGGGTTTGAAAATAATAGCTTTTTTTCCCACTAGGGGCCGAAGCTAGACGCTCACCACCTTCACTCTGACCCGCCTGTTCTCTCAAACACAGTTTGGGCTCTCCAGAGAGCCCTGGCTCCTCCGAACCCTCTCTGCCCCCTTCGTTCCCATAGATACAAACACTATGCCCTATGGGAATATTTATAAGAGCGAGAATGAGTGCCCAAGGCAGGGGCATCAGGGACAGGCAAAATAGAGAAACAGAAGAAAGTGTGGATCAAAGTTCAGCAAGTGTATTTGTTACGTGCTCTGATCTCCATTTACAAAAGAAAACGCTTGTCTTTTTTTGATCGTAGGCCAACTTGACATTTAGAAACACTCGGTTTGGGCGACACGGACAATTTGCGATCACCTGCAAACTGTTTTTGACTCGAGGTTGTGAAGTAGATTAAAAAAAGCTTAGCTGCTAATCGTGCAAAAAGGAAGAAAGATCACTGTGACTTATCAGGCTGTTCTGACGATGTCACAGACGAGAGCGTCACAATGCCAAGGAGGACAGGAAGTCCTTTGGGGGGGTGGGGGGGTGAGTGAGAGAGAGAAAGAGAAAAAGCGAAAGGCAATGCATATCCGCACACCTTCCAAACACAGACACGCATGCGCGCTCACCTTTAAAATATGACCGACATGGATTAAAAAGCAAATCTCAGGTTGAAAGATTAATACCGTCCACTTCATTTCCACAACCTACCCATCTGTGAGAGCTGAAAGCCACTTATGCAGCATAAAAGACACAGCGCTGCTCCTCGGCCTCTTCATTCAACCCACACAAAGGCCTCTCAAGGCTAAGAATCTCTCGTGGCTTTCAGGCCACTACAGAGGATGCTATACATGTGAACACTGTAGCATAAAGCTGCTAGCTATTTCTCAGCTTGTCTCTCTGTGCGTCTGCTGTCTCTTTCTCTTCTCATCTGCTCTGTTCTCTCTCTCAGGCTGTCTGTTAAAGCTGCACTCACCTTTATAATGTCCTCATGAGAGGCCTCGCTGCTAAAGCCACACAGAGAGATGGGGATCACAGCTGGATAAAGTCAACTGCCTACTCTGACCAAAGACCACCTCTCATCTCCTCGTCTCATTTCTCCTTTCTTTACATCTCTTCTCATTTTTATTCTCTACTTCCCTTAGTTTCTCCCCCTCTCTCCTCTTTTCTCATTCCCTCTGCCCATTTCTCTTCTCTCATCTTTTTTCTCCTTCAGTTTCTGCATTTCTCTTCTCTCTTTTCCTTTTATTTCTCCTCCTCTCATTTCCTCTCCCAATTTTTCTTCTCTCCTCCCCTTTATGCTATCCATCTCTTCTCCCTTTATTTTATCCTCCTCTCCTCATATCTCATTCCCTCTTCCTGTATTTCCTCTCACCTCCCCTTCTCCCTTTATTTCTCCTTTACACTCCTTATTTCTCTTTTCATTTCCTATATTTTATTTCTCACCTAGCCTTATTTCTCCTTCACACTCCTCATATCTCCGCTCTCCTCCCCTTATTTCCCTTTCTTTCATATTTTTCCCTCCTCCTCTCCTAATTTTTCCTTTAATCTCATTTCTCTTATTTTTTCTCATCATTTCTCATATCTTCTCCTACTCTTCCCCTTCATTTCTTTTCATAACCAAATTTTTTTGTCTTCATCTCATTTCTTCGTTCCTTATTTCTCATCTCCCCTTCCATTTCTCCTTCCTTCTCCTCATTTCCCTCCCACTCCACAATTTCTCCCCCCCTCTTCTCTATCATAATTTTCCTTTTTTTAATCACATCTTCTCTCTTCACTTAAACTTTCCTTCCTTCTTCTCATGTCTCTTCTCACTTTCTTCTCTTAAACTCTCATTCTCCTCTCCTTTACTCCATCAAACACATTATCTGATCACTCAATCACAACTACAGGGGTGGAAAAATCACCCCAAATCCTTGTACTAAAGTTCATTCTTTCTCAGAAAAAAGTTTCAGAGATAAAGTCACAGAAACATCACTCAGCAATAACCTCATATTCAGTATATCATAAGTCTGAAGATAACGTACATTTCTCACAAGCCTGCAGGCGTGAGTGAACATGACCGAGAAACATTCCACCCTGCGCATCCAATGGTAAATGTCGGACTAATCAAATAGAGTCGATGGATTGGCTACAGTGGAAATCGCTTCTCTTTTATTGGACCATATTAGCCTTGACCTTCAGGGCTCAAATAAAACGTCCTTGAAGATATAATGCTATAATGTAACACACAGCACAAGAGCTACTGTACTGCTACAGAAAACTCACGCTTCAATGTCTTCAGAGTGCAACAGTGAACTGCACAACTAATGGCACAGTATGACTGATGGACATTACTAACAACATTACACACACATGCAAAGGCACAAACAGATACACACAAAAAACAAATGGGCTCTTACCTCTATGTCTGTTTGTAGTTTTATCAAACATAAGCATTGCATCTTCTACCTGTAAGAGAACAAAGAGAAAAATTAGTAAAGGAATGTCAAAACTGCCAGTGCTTTGCTTGAAATTTACACACATACAAACAAAAAAGTAACAATACCAGACCTCCTGTATTTACTTTAGTATGAATTAATATTATTTTAATATTGCTTGCTTGAATAATTACTTACAAAGTCTACATATTATTTTAATTTAATTAGCTAATATTTAATAAAAAAATTTCTAATATTAATAATTGAAAGAGCAGTTTCAACCAGCCTAAGTTGGTTTGCTTGGTTTCTCAGCTTGGTTGACTGGTTTTAAAGCAGTTTTAGGCACTTGCTGGCTTGGTCAGGCTGGGAAACCAGACTAGCTTAAACCAGCTAAGACCAGCAAACCAGTTTTGGCTGGTTTAAGCAGTTTATTTTTTTCGGCAGGAAAATAAAGGACTGTTTATATTAATTTTTGCTTTGCTGTCAAAACAGGTATCAAGAATCCAGAAATATCTGGTATTAGAGATATTCAACAATAGTCTTTTTTTGATATTGTAACATCTTGTGCACTTCTAATTAAATATATAACTACTGAAGCCTAAAAGCATTTACACACACACGTACAGATCTGAAAGCTGCTCATGGCCATGTTCTGTGAAGAATGATATCCCTCCACGGGCCCAAGGGTACCATCCTGTCTGACCCTGACAGAGGCCTGCTCATCCTTGAGGAAAACCCTGTCTACAAGGACACACTTCAGAGTGCATCCAGCCATAGTCCTCTCACACACACAAACACAGGTTTTATACATGCCACAGTATGTCTAAACATGCTTCTTTCTGCTCCTTTCACATTACAGACATGCACATACACTAATAAATGCACAAAAAGTGCATGCCATTCTGGCGTACACATGTGGATGTACACATGCACACTTCACTGCTCCTTCCTGAGGTCCCTGAGATTAGCCTTAAAGTACAAGCGGCTAGAAAAACACCTTCCCTGCACAAAAGGAGCCATCAGTCACTCAGCCCCATAGAGAACAATAGAGCTGCGAGCTTTAGAGTTCCTCATCACCCTCAATCACTTCCAATAAAGATCACAATGACTGGTGCTCTCATAGAGGCTGAGGGAAATCTGTTATCCTCTGCTATCACTCAATGCATATTTATGTTCCTTTAAAACAGCCCTCTATGTTCAGAGGAACACGTTTCATAAATGACCACCAGAAATATGAGGGTTTTCTGAAAGTACATTTCTTTTTTAGGATTCGGCTTTTTCTACAATAAATAAAGGTTAATTAAATAAATAACGGCAACGATGATTGTCTGCGGTTTATCACGATTAATCGCATTGTTATGCACAAAATTCAATAATGCATTCAAAAGTAGTGTATTGTGCACTTTTTTTCATTTAAAAGTACTGCTATATGAACAAAAGTGCAATAACATTTGGATTAGGGGTCGACCGATTATCGGCCTGGGCGATTATTGTCGCCGATATTAAGCATTTTTATGATTATCGGTATCGGTCATTTTTAAAACCGATTTGCCGATAAAATAACTTCATTTTGAAACGCACTATTTGGCTTTGATGCAGCCTGTCAGAACTCACCACTCTTGCCTAAAGCAATCTCCGCCCACCGCCCATCTGATATGTTGGGAGTCACGAGTCCGACCAATCAATGCGGAATTCACTCTCACTCCGAAAGCGCTTGCTAACTGGAGCTGCTTCAGTGATCACGCATCAGTTGGGGCGAGTGCGGGTGCGGGCGGGTAGACACTCATGTGTGCGGGATGCGGGAGAATAAGGGTGCACTCACAATAGGCAATCTTAACTGTGCCCGAGCGTGTTTGACCCCCAAAGCCCGGTTTGTTTGACTAGTGTGATCGCTCCTTGCCGCGCTCGGGCGCGGGTCATTTAGCCGGCCCTTGCTCGGTTGGAAGAGGTGGCGCAGAGCCCGGTTCAGTTATATATAGATCAGTGAGTGTGCGGGCTAACTGCACCGGAGCGCGGAACTTACGTGCAGCATGATTGCATGAACATTTCTGAGCGGCAAGAGTAATT